TTGTTTACTGAAAATATGTGTAGTATTTTATAATTTATGTCATAGTTGCAAATGGCAGTACCTGCAGAAGTCAAGGAAGATGATTCATGTTGGAAAATGTTATTTTTTTCGCAGGCTGCTATTCATCTGCATTATTTAAATACTTGTTATCCGAAATAGCGAAGCATGTCGGATATCTCCCTTTTACAGTGATTTTCAATTATGATCACGATTTCCCAAGGTTGTTTAATTTCAATTATCAGGGGCAATTGTTTTTCTAATTACATAATTATAACTATCTGTAGCAATCTGAAGTGTAATTACAATTATTATTTACATCATGCTTATAATTAGATTTTACAAAATTGCAACTATATTGCACTTGCAATTAAATTATACAATTATTTTGTAATTATTACAATGTATTTGTCCTCTGAACCTTTGAATGTATTATTAAAAGAAATCCCTCCTACGCCTGTTCTGTCCGAGGTTATGCTTGTGAAGCTCATATTTAAAAATTTGCAAACATTGCAAAATACCACTCTGAGGCGAATCACCCGATGTTATGTGGTTCATTAAAAATATCTCAATTCGTGAGAATTTAAAATTTCTCATGGATTGAAATATTTTTAATGATTGAGTTATTTTTAATTATTGAGATATTTTTAATGAAGTATAGAAAAGTATATGGCAAAATTTTTGTAATAATCTCAGCAGTAATCCATGAACTCAAAGCATTAATTATTATGTCACTGGCAGTTTAGACTGAATAAGGACTGGCAGTTTATACAGTGCTGCATGGATTTAATTAATTTATTTAGTCACTTTAACTGTTTGCAATATTGCTTAACTTTTTAAATATTTCTTTCGCTTATTTAATTATTCACCCAGTCTGACCTAACTTTTACGTATGTATTTCGTTATTACTTTATATCACGCGTAATTTAATGTCACATTTAGTGCAATCTTTATCCATTTTGCAATCATTATCGCTCCTAGTCATCTTCCCCCTTGTAGGTTTGGCTTAACCTTCTAAAAATATAGGTATCTGAATTTCAGACTTACCCCCCCCTTCTACAACTAAACCTTGTTATGTTATGTATTCTTCCAGTCAACAACGTAGGATCAACTGCCAGCCAAACACTGCGCTCACCATCGTACCTCCTGACGTCACATCTCCTGATTATCTTAATATGGCTTTCATGCGAATAAATTAGGTTGTTCTTTCGTAGTTATAGGATTAACGTTACACTTGAAGTAGGTGCCAGAAAATTATATTCGCTTCTGCTTTTGCGTAATTAAATCTCCATTGGGATCATGTTTCTTCTTAATAAATTGGACATTAAAAATGTAACACTGCGATATGAAAAAATATAATTCAATGATATTAGAAATTTTAATTCTAATAATTTAGTAAAATAAGTAAATAATTCTTAGATTTTTAATTATTTTTAGGGAAGGCTGTTAAGAAAAGTTTTTATATTTTTGAAATTTTGCTGAAAATTTTGAATACGGATTTTATAATTATTCTAAAAGTGAAGAGATGTAAAAAAAGTGAAATTAGTACAGATAAGTAATTTGAAATTATAGTAAATGCATGGTAAAATTTATGGGTGATTGTGTGTTAAGTATAGAGTATTTTGAGGGAGTACTGGTTCCTAAAACAGAGGCCTCTAATAGCTCTGTACGGTTGTTCCTTTCACCCTCTTCATGTAAGATAATGTTGAAGGCTCTCATTTTATGAGTGTGTGTATTTTTTATATTATTATATTTTTGTATTGTGGAATGTATTGATGCAGTTCCTGAAAGGACAGTTAACTTATGCAAGGAACGGAGGCCTTTTCAAGTAACAGCCTAGGCACCCTGGGCCACCAGTGCAGAAAACACGCTGGTTAGCTCAAGAGGAGAGCCCTGTTGATGGATATGTTTGTTTAGACGTATTGCGAGACCTTCCAGTATGGTAAAATAGAGGAATTTTAAATTAAAGATAATAACGATGAAACCATAATTTCTGAAACAGTTACTCCTATTATATGGTTTTAAAATATAATTTATCAATATGGAAATTAGTATCATAAATATTTATGTGCGTTGCATTTAATTACAAGTAATGATTGATTGTATAAAAGTATATTTTGTAGAATAAACTCTCAAATGACTTATTTTTTTTTTTCCTATTTGCTAGTGCTTTAATGCTTTTTCTTTAAAAAGGCTTCTCTGTCGCTACGCCTTTTTCTTCTTGAAGGGGGGATTTGTAAGAAAAATAATATGTAAAATATTAAATAAGCAACGTAAATTTCCCTTCTCAATTCTAAAAATATAGTAACACTTCTCTGCACTGCGTCATTTCGCGAAAAATCTATGTCATATGATTCTTACATAATTCTGTTGATGTAAACGGAACTAAAACTCTTAACAGCCAATAATAATTTTACAGCAATATTAACCATCCAATCAGAATGCTTTGAGAACCAAAACTAACTCAGTCTGACTTAACATTTCATCCTGATCATTATGCATTTGCTTTCCACGCTTTAACCTAGCTGCACTCTGCTGCTGCTGTCTTGCTACAAAGTTATCAAAAATGTAAGCCTTTTGGAACAGGCGCGTTTAATGTGCCGACTTGTGTGTAGCTGAAAATAAAACTGAAGTTTTAATCTGCTTTCGCCTCCAAATTCTGCTCGTCATTACTTCTATGTTTGTTCCTGCTCCTGAATATATTATATATTTACATATATAGATATGTTTTCGAAGAAATAAAGAGTAATAAAGAATAATCTATGAGTAATAAAATTCCTAATGCTATATAAAAAGTACTTTCAAATTGTGTTTTTGAAAGTCAGTATTTAAAAATTTCATTTCAAAAACTATAATTATATAAATTTAAATTTGATATATTAGGAATTGTTCTTCAACTAATATGATTAAACGACATTCTCACGCTCCTTAATGATACTCATTTTCAGAAGTTAACTGAATACATATCGTCTGCCAGGGAATTATTTTACTTGCATTTGTATCCCATTACACGCGAAACTCATTATTCAAACAAATGCAAAATTCCAGAAGTTATTTCTCTCATTTTTAGTAGTTCTGTATGTTAATAAAAAGAAGTAATCGACATGTGTGGATCCTTTGCAGCGTAAATGTGGGGAGTCATATTTTGAAACAATAGGAGAAAATAGTCATTTTCTGTGCATTACACTAATTGAAGCTCGATAATTGTCCTAGGTTTCCAAAACAAATGGCCTACAAAGTAGCAAATTCATTTTTCAGGTACTCATTCATACAGCATTACAATCTGCTGATGTAACACATCAGTTATAAAAGCACTTATTTTGTATCATTAACTTTCCTTCTCTTCTCTTCCAGCTTTCTAGAAGGTTGTAATAAATATTCAGCTCTGTAAACGCAGTGCTAATTCTGCACAAATGGTGTCGTACAATGGAACACTGCTTAATGGAAGGGATTATGTTCTCGTATATCCTTTTATATTCTGCTTCATGGCACCAAAATGTAACAATAAGAAACCTCCATTTGAAATAAACAGTGCTGAATTAAAATATCGCACAAATGGAAACATTTCATTAGTAATTTTGTGGTGTATTTAAAGTTTTAAAACTGCAAGAAGTTTTAAAAAAAATGTGTGAATGTGTATGTAATGAAATTTTGGAAACTCTCTTGAATATGCTATGTTTAGATTAAAAGCTAGAAAAACAAATTGAGAAAATTATAGAAAAATTTCAACTCCATATTGATTTCAATAAAATCATATAATATATTTATTAGACCAAAGGGTCAATTTGCCCAGAAGGGTTATTAATTTCATTTTGGCATTTTCCGTGGTCCAGTATAAAACGGCATTTCACTTTTCAAATTTTTGCTGCCAAATATTAGAGTTCTGCATTATATATAAAGAAATTAAACAATGAAGAATCTGCATGAATTTATATATGTGAAAAAACAGTGGTACCTAGAGACATCAAATTTTGAATAACGTAGTCCTGCACTCGAATATGAGCATTTTGAAGCCAAAATTTGGGATTTGATATAACAACTATTTCATATTTTGTAAAACCTTAATGAGTTCTTGATTAACAAGCTCAAAGATTTCAAAGCGAGCAATGGCAACAATGTACCCCTCCAAAAAAAATCTCCAAGACTCGAGATCGTGTATCGGAAATTCTAAAGATATGCTCTTTTTAAATATTTGCGATATTGCTTTTGGATTTCATTTTATGGTTTATGTGAGAAGAACATGATATTTAATAAATAAAGGTAGCACACAAAACCTGTTTTGTGTCTCAAGCGAAAAACCAACAAAAAGGCCTCTTCGGACATAACATAAAATCTGAAAGCTTTCAAATTTTAATTTTATTAATTTTATAAATTTATTTTAGTAATCAAATTTTAAAATCCATCTCATCCTGAGTTTGAATTTTCAAATTACCTCGATCACCCGCTTTATTGGAAGCAAAGTTCTGACGATTTGATTTGCAATTACAGCAATTAACTGTAACAGAATATAATGTTATTTCTTTAATTTACTGCATTAAATTTGCAAAGATTACAGCAACATACGACTGGATTTACAAATACAGCTTGTTAGAGTTATAATAGAATGTAAAACAGTTTCTTTTATGTATTGCATTTTATTACTTTATTAAAAAAAACATATGTTAAATAAAAATTTATTACGTTATTAAAATTTTATAAATTTTTGTATTGCGTTTGTATTTATCAATTTCTTTTTTCATTACGGATTCCATTTTATCTGAACTTTATGTACATAAATTTTGTAGATTTAATAACCAATAGATCTGTCAATTTTTTAACATTTTGCATTTTGATTCCTTATTGTCTCAAATTTACACCGCGCATGCCTCAATTTATTGTTATATTTAGTTTAAAAAGTTTATATGTAAGTAAAACAATAATGTTTTCATATTTTAATAAAGAAAAATGTATCAATGAAGTTATTGTCAATGCAGCATGACTTAATGCCTGACATTTTTTTACAGGTATAAAAGTCCGGAATGTTCTTCAAGTGAATCCCCGTAATGTTTGCTTGTCAAAATGAAATCCAAACTATCATACAGAAACTTATGAGAAGTAATATGTAAACGTTATGAGTATGTCGAGCTTTGCATCAGAACTATATGTACTGAATTTTAGAAGCAGGAATCACAAATACAGAAAAATTACCTTTCATTACAAACTCATTATAGATGATCATCGGTCTAAAATGGTTGCTGCAAAATGTAAACAACATTTGCAGACAATTGTTCTATAAAAATTCTATAAATACTAAATAAAAATTATATTAAACTATGTCTGTATTTACAAAACTTAAACGGAATGTGTTTTCTTATGCAAAGTACCTTGAAAGACATGATATTTCTTTCATTTAATGCATTGTTTGCCATGGACAACTAGATGAGAAGTTTCCAAAGAATAAATAACAATAATTCAAATACGATGGGGAATATTTATGCATGAAGACCATATATGTGATATTTGAAATGTTATTGCTTCATATTCATTGAATCTTAAAATCTTCTTTCCGCATTTTTCAAGGATGATGAAAAAAAATGGAAGTGAAACCGTAAAATATATTGCCTCAGAAGATGCTAAAATGTTACGAGCACACAAGCGACTGACTACACATATTTTCTACGGAGACGCTGAGCATTTTAAGTTTAGAAAAATATTTGATAGTGAATGTGATATTTATCGTTGCCGTATCATTTTTCTTAACCTTTACTTCTCACTGCATGCCATATCAGTTTTTGAGGATTATATTCATGGAACTTCAATAAAAAATTATCATTACTTTTAAAAGTTATAAAAGATTATGTTTTAAAACATCTTAATGAAACTTTTTGCGTCTAAAATAAATGACTTATTATTAATCTTTCAAAAGCTTTCTCTCTTTGCAACATACTCGGATATTAACAATAAATGCAATAAAAAAATCATTATTTTATGCATATTTGTTAAAAACCATTTTGTTCGAAAATTGAACTTTTATAAGATGTATCGTCACAATTTATATTTATTTTTTCTTTCGGTTTCCATACAACGAAGCTGGAAATATTAATATAATTTACAGCATTTAATTTTGACTGGATACATTCATTGTAGAGAACTACAAAATTTTATGAACAAATAAAAATTATATTAAAATTTGTATGTACATAGCGAGATATCTTGTGGTTAAAATAATAGTGATCAGTTTCCGAAATGAAACTGGATTACATCGTAATTCATACTACAGAAAAATAAATACTTAATGTAAGTTACAAAGTAAGCACTTCTTTGTAAAATAAAAATTCGCTATTTTTATTTTTTCTATTTATATAAAAATATGTTTGTTCTGAGATAAATTTTATTTCAAGAAAATTGCCTAAAATGTGTTATTGTTTTTATTGTCATAACTGAACTATAGTAAAGAATGAAATTCTTCATTGTACTAGTATATTTGTAAAAATACTGGCTTAACATGATATAGATATATATTATCCTGTTTTAATAAAATATATGTCTATTGTTAAATTAAACGTACTGCCTGTATTAAAATGGATTTTGTGATTTATTTTATATATCCCCAAACAGATGTTTATTCTTAAGACAAAGTAGTTTGCAAATAATAATTAATACGTATCTGTATTCAGATTTCTTCATCAATAACTTCATTATTAATGGTGAAAAGATGCAGAAGGAAGAAAATTTTGTTGCTTGCACCAATACAAGATACGCAGAAGCTAATAAAAAAGTATTCCTATTGTGAATTCTAAGGAAAATATTAATTTTCCCTTTTCTCTTAACGTCAGAGTTAATCTACTACTACTTCAGAAATTTTTGTTGTAAGAGGTGTCATTATGATTCATAAGCAAACATCAAAATATATTTATTATCTAGTGCTTCTATTCAGGGGAGTTTCTTTGTTTATGCGGGTAAAATTTAAAACTCGGTTTTTGATAATCTTCTTCGGATCTAGTTTTGTTGAAATTTGCAACAACAATACAGTTATTTATGAAGATAACTTTCAAATTTTATATATATAACTAAAGTTCCACTTTAGTTATATATATAAAATTTGAAGTGGAACTTTAGTTATATATATCGAATTTTTATATATAGAATATATATATAGAATTTTTATTTAAAGAAAAGGTTTTCAAAAAAAGAACTACTGGCCAGGAATTTGGCCTGAATGTAAATGAAACAATGGGTATTTATCTTGCAAAAAGAAGAAAAGTTCAAAATTTTAGAAATAGATTGCGCTGCACTTGTTATGATATGCTAATTAAAACACGCAGCATGCACACTAGGCACTAGATAAAATAAAAATACAAATTATATGCAGCTCCCGTTATTCTGCATCTGAAGAGCTCATCATGACTATGTCAATGAAGTATCGGGTTCTGCTTATGAAACACTTTTACAAAAACAGGGACTGTGATTCAGCTACTCTGAAATTCTGAAGATTAACGTGTATAAGTTATGGTTCTGATAAAAGGTCAGCAATGTTTTGCAATTGTGGGTATTGCAAACAATTAATAGTTAAATTGCATGGTGAAACTTCACGGAAGTGGAGATGGAAATGGGTTTCAGCTGTCTACAAAACCAAGTCATGTATTGTCCACTTCCATGAGCAAGAAACTGTCGGTCGAAAGTTTGTCATATTCACAGGCCAGCAGGAAGCAACTCCTGATTATACGCAGTTTTGAATGGATAACATTGCAAGATATTTTCTAAAATTTTACGAACAATACTGACAGACATGTCTAAAAACAGGGCTCTTTCTCTTATACTGCACACTTTCACACCACATCTCGTCTATTTTTGCAATGCTATAAACACATCTTCTACTGATGTCGAAGAAAATTGTTTTCCTCCCTCTAGCAGATCTCATATCAAATGAACCTGTCTCTTCGAATTATGAATCATCTTCTGCATATCCTTGATAGTCATCGGACCAGAGCCGCGTAACATGCTCATTATTTCCTAAACTTCTCCATGCCAGATGAAGCACAATCAGCGTTCTTCGCTTCATAAGCAGAGCCCGATCCTTCATTGACAAAGACGCAGTATAACGAGAACTGCATGTGTTCCGCGATTTTATTAACTTTGATATGTGGTGTGTATGTCTCGTCTTTTAATTAGAATATTATAGAACATTTTGGGCCATCTATTGATAAGATTTTGAAATTTTGTTTCCATTTGCCAGGCCACTGTCCATTGTTTCATGTATATTCAAGTCAAATTTCACGTCATTCTAAGCAGTGATTCTTTTCTATAGCCTTTTGAATGTAGAACGTTAATTACAATCACCCTGTATATGTACATTAGTGGACAAAACGTAAACACTATTTCTAAGTTTTGGTAGTAATTCCTCAAAAAATCAACTAGAAGACATGAAATTCATACTAGAGTGGCATAATGTAGTGGTTAAAAGATGAGGGAAGTATAGTAGCAAAACCAAATGAGTAGGACGCATACAGTATGGAACGAATAGAAAAAGGCCTTATTGAATTAATAGAATGTCGTTGGTAGAGAAAGCTATCTAACCAAGAATGGTAGTGACAAATTATATAGCTTTAGTCAGATATATGGCCTCTACTAACTGCAATGGTTACGTTGCATAGTCTGTCGATACTCAACATCAGATTATTTATTAGTTCTTAGTGAAAGTGTCCCATTTTTCAAGGAACACCAATGTCAGTTGTCTTCATAGGGTTATATCGCGCTGTCAGACGCCTCTCTAATAGGGAAATTTAAATCAGAGGAGCAAACTGGTAAACCTATTTTGTGGACATTTTCACTTTCCAGGAGCTCCTCAGCATCGTAAGTCATATGTGGCTGTGCATTGTCATATTAATGGCACCCAGAAAAAAGTCGCACGTAGAAGAGGATAACTTCCAGGCTAGATATCTCCGATACGTAAGCCTTTATCGAAATTGTGGAGCTCTACCCTTCCGTTCATCATAATACCTTCCCATACAAACACGCCAGGACCACCCTAATGCTTTCTTTCCGTGATATTAGTGATATGGGAGCTTATCTCTTCCTCTCTCCGTATCCGCAGTCCGCTACACCACTCTAAACGATGGACTGTTCTCAATGGAATGCAACGTTAAGGAGAGCGGGAGACTAGGATATATTTCTTAGCCTTCTGGTCACAGCAAACCAGGACACAAGTCGTCCAGTTGCCGTGCGCAACTGCTGAGCAGTGTTGCCAGCTATCTGATTTCGATCACCTTGCGCCTGCTGGGCGATATATCGTTCATCAGTAACTTGTTTTCCTTTCCTGATTACTACAAACCTTCTTCACGTCTGTACTTGTCGTTTGAAAGACTTTCCAAGCTCGTGAAACAACACTTTTATCATTTCCAAATGCTTGTGATGCAGCCGTCACACTATGCCCTTCTTAAGCTTGCCGATCATTCTATCATGTGTAAAGGAGTTCTGGCGTTTTCTTGTAGCCATAATGTATGTACAATTTCACTTTCATTTGCAGAAGAATGCCTAGAAACGCGCTTTTGTTTCTTCCTTTTAAGTTGCCTTGAACTGCGCGCGCTGAGTCCTCGCGTTTTGCGTACCCTTCAGTACCCTCTGATGTCACACGTGTCATATTTGCATATGTATCACCTTTCTACTGAATTGGCCTTTCAACGTATGCTGATCGCAAAAAGCCTTTTTCAACAATTTCATGGTTGTAGGTTGAAAACTAAATTCATTGAAGTTTTGGACACTAATGTACTATTTAATGTTGAAACCAATGTTTGGGGAATTTTTTCACACGTATTCACATATCCTCGCTGAAGGTATTAATTAGTTATCCGAGAATTTCGATTATTTCATAAAAGGATATATCATAAAATAGTACTCTAAATGATTTTAATTCCTAATGACAACTATAATTATCAATTGTCCATAAGACATCAATGCTGTATCGATATTATTTTTCATCATTTCGTGTACAGTATTTTCTTTATATAATAATTGTCATTATTTATAACATTTTGAAATTTTCAAATTTCATAAAAAGAAGTCTGCATTCTCTTTTAAACTAAGAATGTTCATGCTGTGCCATTTAGGTGATATTTTTATAATTATTAATGTATAGTAGGGTAGTATAACTGCGTTGCAGGAGTATATTTTATTTCTTCAGAGATCTCGCGTCATAGCCTTGAAACTATAAAGCATAGTTTTATAAAACGATGATGTTACGCCCTTCATTTCTATGCTGCCTAGAAAACGACTGCATTCAGCAACCCGAAGTGGCAGAACATGTAACACAGGTGAGTATTAGCATTCCGTTTTCTAGCGAACAGGTGGGTTTTCCTCCATAGAGAACTTGAATACGAGTAGTTTTCTCTTACAAAGTCCTTCATGTAATCATTCTTCCTCTTAGAATCAATTAAATGTTTTATTGATTAAAAGGCGTAAAATAATATATCTACTATTAACATTTATAGATTCTTTTAAAACGATTATCCTTCTCTACGAAAAATTGTATAGGGAATACCACAAGTTTCGTTATTCCTGTCACACTGGGATCCATACCGCCAACAACTAATAGTACAAAAATGTTAAATAATATATTTTTTAAATCTTAGAATGACGTGCACTACTCACACGTGTCTTAGGCATTCTACTATTGAAATGAAAATATTTAAAAATAATATATAAACAGACTTTAATTGAAATGTAATTTTATACAAAACATAAGCACTGATAAAAAGAGATAAAACCAGGAAAACTGTAAAAAAAATTTTCGAAAACGTTATTTAATTTTTTTTTTAATTTTTAAAAGACATCCGAATAAGTCAGAAAAGCAATATCTTTTATTCAGTGAAGCTGAATTATACGAAACCTAAATTCTTAAATTTCTATTAACGGAAGAATTTTTGTAAGAAACAGATATTAATCTTAAAATATATTAAAATACTCCTGTAATCCTTTTTTCACCAGAATACTTTAAATCGCAAGTAGGAGAAAAACAGACTCACTTGTGTGCTGCTGCAAAATGCCAAAAAAATATTTAAAGCTAAAATGTGGGAGTAAGACCCAGGCTGCCGTATTCTGTAGAATCATTTTAGTATAACAAAAGTAATAATAATGAAAATAAGAAGAATGTAAGCATCATACTTGTATGCAGTAAAAGAGTTGTTTGTCTCATTTGCTTTCTTAGTCGCGTTATTTGGTGAGCTTTTTGGCTGAAAATGGTGGTCCAGTATTGATGATATTGTTGCGAAGGAATTCCAAAAAAATTAAAGTGTAGCTATTGAAACAGGGTTACAACAAGATGGAGATGAATAATACAAAAGATTATATAAAATAGCCGTCCAAATTGTTATTG